ATTTAATTTAAATCTGTAATCATTGCCAAGCATAACATCAACATAAAAGGTTACCATACTCTTTGTTATTAAATTGCTATTATAAAAAAATTGTTTGGGCATTGCTGCAGGAGTCATTACTCAAGTTGTCATGTGTTGATAAACATGAGGCAATAAAAGCAAAATAATAATTCGCCAGGTTGGCATATGGAGTATAAAATATTAGTAAGTGCAAAATAAAATGTTTTGGTTCTAGAATGTTTTGGTTTGAAATGTATTCCAAGCAGATATGCAACAAAGGAGCCAAATTATTGTTTCCTTAATAACAAGGTATTTATTTAGTGCCGAAGGGAAATTAAGAATCGAGACTCTACATGTTTTGTTTATGGAGGGGGAAAATGTGCATGCGTAAAGCATTTTTTTTAAAAAAGAAAAAGTTGTTGGCAGTTTTGAGGTCCAGTCATTGCAGATATTGGACATCCGGATCTTGGACTTTGTACTGTACTATTCAAGAATTTTTTAAATGTCTGCTTAAAATCTGTGAGGGGTATTGCAAGATCGTGGGAGGATGCGTCTTCAGATACCTAAAAAAAATGTTTGGCATAATTTATGGCCAACCACAAAATGTCATGGTGAGGATGATGAAGATGATAACCACAATTTTGAAAGTTTTTGGATATCGCTAGCCAAAAGTGAAATTTTCCAATTAATGGATTTTGTAAAGAAATGTGACACGGTAATAAATGAAGACACTGTAACAGTTTTTCATTGCGATGCCAATGCTCCAATCTTCAATCAGTTAAAGGACAGTGAAATCTAGTATGGTTCTAGATCCAGAAAATATTGCTACCAGTAGTGAAGAAAGTGACAGGTTATTGAAGATGAAAAAATTTCGATTGACAAATTAGTCGGAATTCTTGACACAGCAATTACAGGACTTGAACAATGGAACTTTGTAACTGAACAAGAAATTAGTCTGTCTGTAGAATTAAAGAGAAAGTATTATTACAAACAATGAAGCAACTTAAGCAACTTGAACAACATTGAAAGAAATATTTAATAAAGTAAGCAAATAAATATAGAGGTTTTTTTTTGGAAATTTCGATACCTTTTAGAAGATAAATGCTTCATTATTTCATAAATCACAATTTCAAATTTTTAATTTGATAATTTCTACATGCCATCTTACCAGATTTAAACTGATGATCTAATATCAGGAAAAATCCCAAATCCGGAATCTCCGAAGTTCTGACAAGTCTGCATCTCGGACTTTGTACTGCATTAAATAAATTCTCCTTTGAAAGTAAAAGATTTCCCAATACTTCCCATGGACCATTAGGTATTTCTTTAGATATAACTGTTTTTTTTACTATTAGCCTTTTATAAACTCAAATATGTTCGTGAATTCAGAACCAAATCTTCAATTTCTTTTGACATTCCTAGCTAATATGATATTTATCTTGCTTTGTTCTCTGACATACCTGGCATTTTTCTACTCAAAACTAAACGTCATGTATTCTACTTAACATATCTTTTCATAAACTTCTAGGAACAGCAACACAGGAATTCTTAAATATTGATTTATGTGATTCTGATAATTCTTCTCTGAAGTTAAAATATAGTTTTTTCAGTTCTGAAACCACATCATTTTCATATGGCCATCTAGTTTTAATTTATTTTCTTAAAACTTTAAGTTCTTCATCTTTTTTCTATTTCTAGTAAAAAAAATTCCATTTTGTCTATGGACTCATTGGTTTAACTATCGGTGAAGATAAGATGAAATTTATGATAGCAACAAATAAAATCATGGACCTACCCCCTTTAATGATCAAGAATTATACTTTTGAGACTGGTAAGCAATTTAAATATATGGGCACAATTTTTTTCGAGTTGCAATGACATTAAGATTGAAATTAAAAGCAGGATATCTATGGCCAACAGATGTTTTTATGGACTTAGAAACCAACTTAAATCCAAATTAATTAGTGTAAAAGCCAAAGTAAGTTTATATAAGACTTTGATAAGGCCTGTGGCCTGTATTGAAGCTAATGCTGGACACTTAGCAAAACAGAGGAAGAGCTACTGCTGATATTTGAAAAAAAATTCCAAGGAAGGTTTCCAGGGCTGTTGAGCTAAAATTAGCTGTGGGAATTTTATGTAACCATGAAATCTGTAGGAAACGTAATGAACCTGTTATTGTCAAAATTGTAAAGGCATCTCATAGTAGAATGGCAAGGTCATATTTATAGATTGATATTCTCAAAATTGTAATATGATATTGTCAAAATTGTAAAGGCCATATTTGTAGATATGATGACACATTTCCTATTAAAAAGAAAACTTTCTTAAAAATAGAGAGGAAATGACAAAAGGAAGATTGGCCATTAGATGGCTGGATAGTGTGGAAAAGAATTTGAAACTGATAGGTGTAAATCGATGGGAAACTGTCACTCTGGATATGGCCAGATTGAGAAAACTTGGAGAGGCTGGTTGTAGAGCTCAAGAATATTAAATCGAATATAATTAAATTTATCTTATTTAATGATTAATTAAAAATTAGCAAATGGTTAATTTAAAAAAGGATGCCCTACATGCACATTTTCAAAGTTGTAAAAATGTCGTTCATACATTGACTGCGGACAAGTTTTGCTGTAGGTTAGAATCTATGAAGGCACAGTTTTTTTAAATATTTTGACTTCATGCATCTCAAAATACTTTATCACAATTTGGGGTATGCTGTGTAAAGTGTTGTAGTCTGTGGAAATGAATCCCCTCCCCCCGCACAAAAAAAGAATTCGTTTAAGAATTGCACGATAAAGTAGCACACCACAGTAGTAATTACACTTTCAAGGAACAACTATAACTGTTAATATTGTTATATCGGTATTTAATTTTTTGTTTTCATAAGTGCATAATTTAGTAGTACATTAAGTATAGTTAGATCACGAAAGATATGTAGATGCAGTCTTAATTTTTTTTTTTTTTCCAGGGCTGGTAATCAGTCCATCTATAAATGTACGCTAAGTGAAATCGTACGAAATGAATTCAGGAAACAGGAATAATTTTAATTTATCCATTGATCAGTATAATTTTGAAAATAATTTATAAGCTGTTCCAGCAGTTATCAAAGTTAATAGTGGATATCAGTTACTTAAGTTTTCATTTGATATCTAAACATTGAGCTACCTTTTATCAAAAAGTAAATTTAAATATTTTTTCACCTTTTTGTGTTGGCCTAGAACACAAAACATCTCCAGAGGCTTTAAGCAGTTTTAAGTAAGGGTAATTTTGAAAAGATTTTGGTGACCTCAATCTTATTTTGGTGACTATATATTGTATAGTGCTTATTAAATATCCAAATTGTCCTATTCAGGGATGTCAGAAATTCAAGAATTTCAAGGTCAAACTGAAAATCGAAATAATTAAGTGTAATATTTAAATGGTGGAAGTGGCAGAAAGATTGATCAAAACTTCAAGAAAGAATATGCAATATGATAACATAACAAAAAGATACAATTGAAAAAAAGTTCCAAGCATTTTCAGTAGTATTTTCAAAGTTAATTAAATACTGATTTTAAAAAATAAATCTGTATTTTAAAATGGTGAAATATCAGTATTATCCTGAGAGGTCCTTGAGATTACAGTGTGAATTAAAATACCTGAATTTTTGCATATGTGAACTGAGGTAAGTCTCATAAAGTGTGGACCATTTGAGAGTTCTGAAATTTAAAATGTAAATAATAGTGATCACAAAATAAAATTTTACTTTTGAAAACAAAACTTGTAAAAAGATGGAAAAGAGCATTTATTTTTGTATATTTTAATAATATTGGAAAAGTTTCCTCCTGCCTTTTTCTAATAGCATACTTTTTGATAATATCAAATTAAATCTTGCTTTTATGCTTAGAAGAGACAAGTCTGACCTGCCTTATTTAGTTATTCATTTAAAAATTCCAGTATACTTTAATTGGGAAATGAACACTCATGTGAACAATTTGACTATTAATGCAAGTGCCCACGTTTGGAAAGGCACATTCAGTATTGTTTTCTAGAATTATTATAGAAATTTCTATATGATGAGTCTTATTTTTACATTTTATTTAACTGAATTTGTGAAACTCTGTCATAATCAAGACATAAAGGTGACCAACTTTGACTAGTGTAACATGTGACTTTTATTTGTGTCATTTGATAAATGCAGGTGTCAATTTCATAAACATTTAGCCTTTAAACTTCTGAAGATAATAACTAACAATAAAATAATAATAAACTAACTAATAAAACTTTAAAAATCTAAAAATAATTTTTCAGTGGCAGAATAAATACAGTGTTAGGGTTAAACTTAAAATAACATTATCATACACATTTAATACACTTATAGAAGTATGATCACTAAAAAAATAAATGCTATTGTTAGATACGACAGTAAATGCTCACAATTTTGTCCATTCATAAACTCATTTTTACCTAAATAATCTCTGTAAAAATTTAAATATAACCAAACAAATTTATTCTACCAAAATATAACATTTTACAACTGTTGCCACTCAAAGCAAAACTAAAGGGAAAATATTATTACACTGGTTGAATGTATGTGAACAATGCTATGTGTTACAGCAATAACACAAAAAAATTCACTTCTATTTTCAATTCGCTTGTATTGTCAGATACTCCAGCTCATTGCAGAGTGGTGAATAAATTCTTTTTTGTATTATAAAAAAATCATGTTAAATAATTAAACTCGTATTCAAAGTAGGGAATAATACCATCCAGCCATTTGCCTATTTAATATCAACTAATTATTGCATTAATCGACATTAAATAGGATTCCCTGTATTTAGTTTTCTCACATAATATGAACAATTTTATAATCTATATTTGTGCTTTATGAAGTAACTTTACACAGCTTATAGACTTTATTGTATTTATTTCTTCTTCTTTTCTTCCCCTTTTGTTGAAACATTTGAAGCAAAATATGTAATTTCTATGCCATTTCTATAAGCAATGTTTCTTTGTTTTAGAAATTCCTCCCACTCTCCGCAGTCTGATACTCATTTGGCTGAGAAAGAAAAAAAGGTAAATATTGTTTACTTAATGTTTATATGGAAATTCATTAAACTGTTCATGCAACTGAGTGAAAATTTTAAAATTCAGTAGATTTGCTTTCTTTTGAAATGTGAATATTTTTCATCCAGTTTGACCCTTCAGGTAAGCATTGATGGAAAGGGTCAAGCCAATAAAATTAAACTTTTGTAATACTTTATTTAAATAAAACGTAAATTTTTAAAGTTAATTTGGGACTAATTACCCATTTTAAGGAATATGTGTAAAGATATGTTAATAAAATATTTATGTACTTTTTAATGAGACAACTTTTGTATTTCAAAAATTAAACATTAATGGAGATAAGTATTAATTAACTTGGTTGAAATAAAGAAATTAGTTTATAAGAGAATTTGTATGCTCTCTGCCAAGTAAGTGGCGGCAAAAGGTATGACATTTCTGAGCTAGATAAACTAGACGCTCCTTTCTGAATGTGTTAGTCTAAGCCATTTGGTGTACTGTCTGCATGGAAGGTTGTTAGAATGTGGATTAATTTCTAATGTCTGTTCAGTAACCATATATTCTTAGCATAAATATATGTAGTGAATGTCTAATAAGGAAATTATCATGAAGGGGCTTCTCAGTCCCTTTCTTTAAGTAGAGAATTAATCTTTTCATATCATTGAGATGGAACTGTAAAAGGAATAAATAAATTAGATGAAAACTTAGATAGCTTTGTTAACACTTTTCACGTAACCTTGCATTTTCTTTTAATCTTATTACTTTTGATCGATTTACTACCTAATGTTATTTTTTTATTGCTGTGGGTATGGGTGAGAGGCCTGGTGGTGCAGTGACTAGTGCATTGCGCAGCCGCACCATAGGTCGGGGGATATAATCACGTACTCGGCAAGGTTGACGCAGCCTTTCATCCCTTAAGTGGGTCGATAAAATGAGTACCAAGTTCACTTGGGAACTAAACACGGGGGTCCTGCGACACGCTGACCACTTGTCTGGGACATAAGCATGCACCCAGGGGCCCACGGTCTAGAAAGCAAATATCGGAGCACTGCAGGCCATGGCTCTTTAAGGGCTGTTGTGCTGCTGAATTTGGTTTAGTGGGTAGGGGTAGTGCAGAGATGCAGTAATATTAACTCATAATGTTTATGAATATTTTGCTGTGATACGTGTTTAAATGGTGAAATAGAGGCATCGCACTGAGAAATATATACATATCATGTATTGAAATGTGTTATGGGTTGTAGGTCATCAAATACTTTTTTTTTTTCGCTTTGAAAGGTGTGTTTTTAGAAATAAAAATTAGTATTAATATTTCATTTTTTTCTTGACAAATGGATACATGTATTTATAATGATTATGAATAACATGAAAAATATTTTATTCAATAACTTAAAATTATCAAAGAGGATTTCATTTTCTCATTAACAAACATTCCCTCTCTACTTAAAAAAAAGGGGGGAATGAATCCAAAAAATTGTTATTAATATTTCTTTTTTTTAATAGTTATTCTATGTTGCAAGTATCCTCCAGCTTGTGAAACTGTTATGCAAGTTTGTTTCTATAAAAAGACTTACTTTAGCATGTTTTTTTGCCTGTAGGAAAAATGCAAAGAGGATTTTCATGTTTATAAAGCTGATACATTGTTCGTAATATTTCTAACCCATCATTGATAAGTACTGCTAAAAAAGTAATTTGCTTGTGCATTTTCTAAGTTTAGTTAAAAAAAGTAGATGAAATGTTAATCATCAAATAACATTGAAAAGTAATCAGTGAATAGTTTCTTTTTCCTTGTTTGAAGTAAAGAAAGTATTGTAATCTCAGAAAATTTCGGGTTGCATATTTTAACAAAAATATACATTTTGACCGTTCCTGAATCCATTTGGACATTTTTTTTCTTTGCATGACGTCTGTCCATACAAACAGAATAAAGGACTCTTTCCCCCCTAAGTGTATTGAAAAATGGATTTAAAAAGGATTCAGAATGGATTTTTTCATGGTGTCTGTATATGTGTGTATGTATATCGCATAACTCAAAAAGGGTTTGCTGTAGAATGTTGAAATTTTGCTTTGCACTTCCCTTTCTTATTGCAATTCGTAATACTCTCTCTCTATATATACATACATATGTACAAAAAAAAAAAAAAAAAAAAAAAAAAACATGATTATAGGTTAAAAATTAAAAACAATTTTTTTTAACCTGTCCTGAGCTATAGCTATCGGATTGAAGTAATATAAACTTAAAGCATCTAAAGTTAATGTTAAATTGGAATCAAAGCAAGGCAATTCCTAAACAGCATTAATAATTGCAACTGTGTGTAAGAGGTTTAACACAATATCTAAACAAATCAAAATTAAAATAAGAATTCATAGCAGAACAAACACAAAAATTAAAAGTGTGAAAGGGAAAATATACAACTTATAGAAATATATAACTTAATCTCCTTTTATTGAAACTCCAAATCATAACTCATCAGGGGAAAATGAATTAAAACTTTATAAAAGACGATTAATATGTTTGAAAAACATGTTTCGTTCTCCTGTTTCATTTGAGATAAAAAAGAAAAAAGATTCAATTAAATTTTCATTTAAGACATTAAAATTCATATCTCAAATGTACCAGAAATTTCCCTACACACTTTCAGAACACTTGGAGAAAGAATAAAACATATTATGTCAAATTGTGTACTCAAAAAAGCCATAAAACTTTAATCAAATTGACCATTAAAAAAAAAGTGGTCCTAAACCATTATATGTGAATCCGAAATTCAAAAGCAATTACAAATAAAGAGCAAAACAAATATTCTTTAAACCAGCTTGCCGTTTAAACAACACTAAAAAATTGGGTGGTTCCCCAATTATGCTAATGTAAACTTTTAATGAAAAATTTTTCATAGAGATTTCTATAAATAATAAAATCTAATCTGAGCCTTAAACAGCTAAAAACTGAAACTATTTGAAACAAAAATTGAAAATAATGCAACCTTACTGAATTCGTAAGACGACCAAACTGTTTTCCGTGCAAAAGAATGTAGAATTAAAGCTGCTCTGGAGAAGCAAAAAATTTTGTAATTGTTGGAAAAAGTATGTGATAAGGTTCAAAGTGTCCAGTGGCAGAACTAAGTATTTTAACATGTGTTCAAAATTTCATATCCTCTTAAACTCTGTGTGCAGGGTGACAGATGTTGAGTGTGGTCTGTAAAAATTATTACCGATGAGGAGGGTGAATCGTCAACTCCAATATGGCAATGTAAGAAACTTCTAAAAGAAGCTGCTCTCTGTAAAATCCTAGAACGTGTAAACAGAATTGGCTCAAATTTGTAGAAAAGGAAAAAAGTATATGTTATCAAAGATAAGTCTTCATGTAATTGGGATACAATACGCCTTAGAAACGAGAAACCCCATTTTTTTTAGAACAGATAGATTTGTCAGTTATTAAATTTACGAAAGCGTAGAGAGTTAGTATATAAAAATAGTAAAAATAGTTAAAAGGGAAAAAATACAAGATCTTTGTACATATTTACATTAAATTTCTTATCGTAGTCATCTAACTATTACCTCTGATTAAGGTTTAAGTAATAATTATAATATCACTTTAATGAGGGAAAAAATAGGTTATAAAAGATAAATGTCTACATGTAATCGAAGTACAAATAAATCTTTGAAACTAGAAGCTCATTTTCTTAGTGAAAGCAAGATTTTCCAGTTATTAAATTTACAGAATAGTGGAAAGATAGTATAAATAATAATTAAAAGGGAAAAATTAAAAAACAAAAGCAAGATCTTTATACATATTTACATTAAATTTCTTATCGTAGTCATCAAATTATTACCTCTGATTAAGATTTAAGTAATCATTATCATATCACTTTAGATGATAAATTAAGAAAACGTAGTTAATACCAGCTTTCTCTAAAGATATAGAAATTTTGAATAGAGGTGTTTTATTCTCTGCAAGAATTTTGACTAAGTGATTTCTTCTGGTAGTCATTGGACATAGTTGCAAATATTTTTTATTCTAGGGTGCTGAGTATGTATGGTATTAAGTATTACTCTTTTGGGAAATGCTGGAGTGCCACTGGATGAGTTTTATAGTAGGGAAATCAAAATCTCCATTGTCAGAAATTTTGATATCTTTAAAACTGATAATTTGTAAATCTAGGTATTAACATTTCCTTGTTGAAACTTAGCTTTATTGTGTTTCAAACATGAAGGATTAAGGTGATCATATTCTATTTGATTGAAGGTGTTGATTGCAATAATATCACCATTTATCTGTAAATGTTAGAGTAATACTGAACATTGTACTTGAGATTACTGTTGTTGGAAAGGTACAAATTACAAATCACAGAACTGGTGCTAGTTCCCATCAAGATACCGTTGATTTGTTTAAAAAAGGCATTATTAAATACAATGTAGTTATTAAAAAGAATACTTTTTAAATATAGCTGCCATTCTTCTTTGGAAATAACAGTAATAATTTGTGGAAACAAATCTTGTATAGTTAGAAGACTGTCAAAGACTTCTTGTAAAGGAAGAGCGGTGTATAATTACTAATGTATTATTTAGTGTATTTCCTCATTTGATAAAGATAGTTAGAATTCTACTGAAATGCTGTAACTTATAAGCATATTTAAAAAAAAAATGAATCTTGATTTTTTTTTTTTTTTAAATGGAAACATCAAAAATGAATTAAGAATAAATTGAAAATGGAAACTTTTAAAAAGGTGCAGCTCTTGTGCAAGTATTAGGCAGTTTATTATGATTAATTAATACACACACATATTAATAGAATACATATTAATAGAACACTGAAATTTTGTATATGGGACTGCTGTATCATCTAATTTTGCATCCCCCTTTTTATTGCAATCAGGAGTACCAGATGTGTATATATACAGGGTGTCCAGCAAAGGAGTCCCTGATTTTAAAATTAAAAATCAGGAAAACAAAGATCGATAGAGGGATACAACAAGCAGTATATTTAAGAAAAAAATGACACGACAAACAAGTTG